ATCTATCTATCTATATATATATATGTTGTTTGAGACCTGTGTCCACACCACTAACCAGTCTTCCACAGATACAGTGAGAGCCAGATGATGGGGGTAGGAAATCCAGCCGTTTGTGCCAGAAGTCGTTGATTATTATTATTTTTTTAACATTACAGCAGGTTAGAGCAGAATTTGGCAGTCGGTTTGTAACGTGACAGGTCTCCTGAACACAGGTCTGGGTCACCTCTCCAGTGGCTTGTTTTTTCTTTTTTTTGGTTACCACCAGGCATTAGCAGCTAAATGTGTTCTCTGTGGATGGGCAGTTACAGCACAGGTGCTGCTGGTTTCGCTGAGCAGGGTGTAGGTGATGGGTGTCCTTAACCTGTCAGATCAATTTAAATCAGACTTGCTCTGTTACTGAGCTGGCACTGGTTTAGAACACCCAGCTTTGTATCATCTGGAGCATGTTTAGTACTCTTACTCCTTACCTTGAAGACCTTTTTGTATCTCACAAAATTTGTGACAGGGCTGTGTAACGTGTACTTGCTGTGAGCCGTTTCCCTTGACCAGTGACCATAAATGATTAAAACAATTTTGCAAAGGGAGTAGTGGCATTCAGAATTGGTAAGGAAACACCGGCCAGACTCTGATCTCACACGCTGAGGTACAGGATGAAATTCCCCCAGGCCATGAGTGGAAGCAGCTTTCAGAAGGTGATGGGTGTGTGGGAATGTGAATAGCCAGGTGCTGATAGCCTGAAATCACCTTGCTTGGCCTTGGGCTGTACCTGGAAATAGAACCAGCTGTGGAAACTGATCTCAAGGGGCTTTTGGAGAGCACCTACTTCAGCTCCCTCTCAATAGAAACCACTCCTGGCAAACATTTAATCTGATTTAAAATTTCCAGTACCAGGAGGATCATGAACTTGTCGAGTTTGCTTCAGTTCTTTGCTGTTCTTGCAGCAGTTGGAAAGTTGGGATTTTTTCCTTAACCTGATTAAACCCCTCTGCCTCATTGCAAGCCTCTTCCTCCTTCTCTCCTCTATGGTCACAGAAAATTTACCTTTTTTATTTTCTTTAGCAGCAGCAGTCTTTTCCTTGAAGGTGGCTGTCACTTCTGCCCTTGTTCTTTGTCTTCTGTACACAAAATAAACTACTTGAGAGAAAAGCCGAAGAGAGCTGTGCTCCTTTCCTCCTCTGTCCTCTGGTTCTCTCCATCTGGTACCCAGCCCTGTCCAGCGGTGGTGCTGGTCACCGGCCCTGCTGTTCCTGCAGGGACCCCCCTGCTTGGTACCGGATGGAGGAACAGAACTGGGGATGTGCGGAATTCCAGCCGGGCTGGACCGCCCAGTCCCTGCGGTTGCAGGCAGCGCGTCCCACAGCGCCGTGCTGGCTGGTGCTGGGCGCCGGGTTGCTGGCCCCCGTTCACGTTGTGGGTTTTTTTTCCGATTCTTCTTTTGGCAGAACTCGAGTCACAGCTTCTTGTCCTGTACCACAGATCGGTGCAGCGGGCGCCCCTGTTAAGTGCATTGTTTTGTGTGTGCTCTCTTGAACTGGCTCCTGTTTGTGTTGGAGCATTTCTTTGATTTACCAGGAATTCAGAGCACCTTCAAGCCTGGTCCTGTCTGCAGCATGCGACAGAGGCTGCAATTGGGATACCCATGGAATACCAGTACTGGGCTGAAGATCTCGGACTGAGCTTACAACAGACAGCCTCCCCCCTGTGACCGCTGTGACCTGCTCTGTGTGTGCAGCAGCTTTACCAAATTCTGACCAACACCTACTTGCTCTACAGGTTGCAGCGGTCATCACACAAAGGTAAGCGTAAGACATCTTCATCCTGGCTTTGGAGAGCCTTTATTTAACAAAATCCATTTTTAAGAGTTTTTCAATAGTTACTAGAGGATTTTCATCCTCTGTCTTGATCCTCTACCAAAAACATGAAGTCCTGGGGACTGCCTCTGTCCCACGCATGTACCAGAATGAAACCAAGTGTTAGGGAAGTGAAGTTTTCAAATGACAAATGCTTTGGTTTTTTTGGAGTTTCTGCTCTTGGCATTTTCCCTGAACATCAACTTCCTCTCTGAAAGAGGTCGTTGTGTTGCCACTTGGTCCCTGTCATCTCTCCTTGAAGGTGGCAAGAGAGCACTGTCCGTGAAGGGGGGTCTGCATTCACGTCTGGCAGTGACTGTCCTCAGCTCAAGCCAGAGAAGTGAACTCCCTGTGGAGCACAAAGCCTTATACTCCATTTTGGTCGAGAAAAAGCAGAGAAACCTGCACGCAAATGGAGAGCAAGCCTTGTGTGCGTGGTGCTGCCACGTCTGCTGTGGGTCAGAGCGTGGGAGCATCAGCTGCATGTGGCGTATGAAGGGTTGCTCCGTTTTGTCGTGTCCCAACCCACAGCGTAGGAACTGGTGTGGCAGCAAGTGAAACGAACCCTCACCTCTCCCAGAGCAGCGTCAGACCAGGCACTTGGCGTGGTAGTAGTTTTTTGGGGTATTCTTTTTTCCAAACAGTAGCTTCCATCTTTGAATGTCTTTAAAACATCACTCTTGGCTTGTTCTCTGCTATGGTTGGCAGTTTCATGAATTTATGAGTGGATTGTTACACTTTTATTATCACTCAATTATAAAAAGTAAGACTTTTTCTTACCTGGATTGCGTGTGGCCTTGAGGTACATCCAAACATTACTGAGGACTTCTTGTCAGCAGCAAGGAGCTCCCCAACCTGCTAAGTACACCAGGACACTCGTGTACCGCCTCTGAGAGGGGCAGTTTGTCACCACAGCCCCTGCCGTCTCTTCTGCCGCTCTTTCCATGTTGTTCTGTCTCATGCTGGGGATTTCTCATCAACGCCGTGGCCTCTCTTGTAGCCAGAGACCGTTTTGCTACAGGAACCATCCCCTGCCCCTCTCTCCCTGATGCTTTCTGGATGTAACGGGAGCCAGCTGCCCACAACAGGGGTTATGGTTGTACCGTCACCCTCTCCCTTCCCCACCGCTTCTCCATGCACTGCCCCCTCCTCAGACTTCACCAAACCACCAGAAGAACGAGGACTGGGGACTCTGCTGTGCTGCTGAGAGACCGCAGGATTAGGTGCTTGTACAAACTGTGCCAGAAGCTCAGGGATTTAGCCTTGAGCACACAGGATGATGATGATGCACGTTTTGTTCAGACCACCTGTACCACAGCCCTGGGGCTGATGGCAAAGGAAACACAACCTCCTTTTCCCAGGGGAACTTCAGACACAGACTGTACATCCTTACCCTTTACAGCACGGGCTTCTGGTTGTGGGTTTATCTTGCTCAAGGTCCATTAGGAATGCAAGTGAGGGCAGCAGCATCCTGCAGCTCTGTAATTTTCAGCCTTCCCACCCAGCATTTGCCAATGTCACAGCAGCAGAGAAACAAAACAGAGCTGCTTGGCCTCTTGTGTCTCAATTCTTGTAAGTGTAAAAATTCAGCCTATGGGAGTTTGACATGAAGCAGGGATGTGTAGAAAGAGGTTTTTATTTAGTCGTGTGTGTACAGCTTGGTAGATTTGTCAAGGCACATGATGACAGAGGTACAACAGATAAAAAAAAGCTTTTCTTTGCAGTCACGCAACATGAAAAAAGTTTCTCAGCCTCAGCACAGGAGCAGCAGGATTTTGTACACGGTTGTCCTTACTTCTTCTTTCTTGAGTAAGAGGCATCAGCGTCCTGGAGCGAGAGTACATTCAATCAGTATCTCCCACCCTCATTTCTCCTGTATTTAAGTCCTTCACCCACAGTGGCATTTTGCTTGAAACTGCTTGTGCCAGTGGGCAGTTACAGCGTGGAAATGTGAAGTTTTGGGCTGCATGTGCCACTCTTATTTTTTGCATTTCCTGCTTTTGGAGCACTTTGTACAGAAAAGCACGTTAAAGTCCAGCAAAAACACCGTGAGAATAAAGAGCATGTACTGAGCTGTAGTGCACGCACAGAGCGCTGCGCTGCGCTTCAGGAGTGTCAGCGGTAGCGGAGCCCTGACAGAGTAGCATTGCTTCATGAACGTCTGGGAGGCGCTCAGATTACGTGCCCGATAGAAAAACTAGACACGACCCAGGGAGCTCTTTCCAAGAGGCTTAATTCCAAGTTGCATTAAATAATTTATGCTTGTGAATTACAGCTCAGCGTGGCGTTAATGGCGAGTTCTGCACTTGCAGCCCGTGGGGCAAAGGTCAGAGCAAGACCTTTGGCACTCCAGGACATCCTGACTGCGCTGCGCTGTGCCCACACTGCAGCGATTCTGGACCACCAGGCACGCGGCAATGGAGCCAGGCCTGGCAGCAGCTGCCAGGGAAACGAGGAGGAGAAAAAGGAACGGATCCAGACATGCAATCCCAACATTCCCATGGCTAAGGAGGCTGTCAGCAGAGTCAGAAGAAGCAAGCAAGCAGGGGGGAGAGAGGAATAAACTCACCACTCCGCTCTTGAAGTTCTGTATCCTCCTCTTGCCCATCCTGTTCATCAGCCACCAGGCCCAGGTGGGTGCGTACTGCCAGAGGTAGCAAACGGCCAGGTAGGGGTGGTCGCTGATCCAGGCCTCCTTCAGGTCGTTGGCCGTGCTCACCAGGGTGAGCCGCACGCAGCGGTCGGTTGGCATCTTGTGGGACTGGTCACCGCTGTTCTCTATGGACTGGAGGGGAGAGAGTGAGGAGGGATACAACTGGACGTGCTTGTTCCGTTACCGTGCTCAGTCAGAACAAGGTACCCGCTCTGCAGCTGAGGGCTCTGAGAAACGGGAGCTTCCCTGCTCCCAGCTGCCTACGCCATCATAAGCTACAGGTTACTCAGCAACCACGTTAGGAGATAAGGCTGCATTCCCCAGTAGCTTAAATATTCCTGCCAGCTCTCCTCAAACAAGAGAAAAGCAACAGGCTGCTTCAGTGGCAGGGGTGTCTTTGCATGACAACCTGTCCCCACGTATCGCTTAGTGGGCGCAAGCCGCAGCCCTGTGAATTTACATGCAGCCCCCTCCAGCAGTGACAGACTCCTTTATCCATCTGTTTTTCCATTCCCCAGAGCACGAGCATTTCTGGTCTAGATTCAGCCTTCCTCCCAGGTCTTCTGCCGTGCTGAAACGTGAGGAATTTGTTTTGCAAGCTCTCCAGGTTGCTCAAAAAGTACATATTTTCTTTCACAGCAGTATGAAGCTTTGCAAGCCAAAAACCCTTTCAAAACTTGGGAGATTCCACCTCCCCCTCACCGGTGCGTGATCCTGAGCTTTACATTGACTGAACTGAGGACAGATTACACCCGGATGTGGCGTAGCAGCGTTTTCTGCCAGCTGCTCTGCCAGGCAGCCTTTCTGAAAAGCGACTGCGCGGTTGGGAGGTTCTCTTTCTCTCCTTGAACAATCGCTGACAGGACGAGCGCGCGTGCCCCACGGCAGCTGACGTGCGCGGCTCTGCCAACAGCAGCGTCACCCCAGCGGGGACAGCGTGACTGGGGCAAACAAAAAGCTACCTGTGCACAAAGGACACACAACAGCGTCCAGAAAATCCCAGCTTTTCCCCCAAAAGTGCAGCAGTACAGCCAATTTTCTTGGATGTGGATTGTATACTTTGGAAGAGAGAAGGCATAAAAACTCTCAAACTTTTCTTTTCATTTGATAGGGACTTAATACCACAAAGAATTACAAGACTATACATAGTTCTGTATGAACTGAACTATGCAGGTCATACTGCAGTTCATAACTGAAGCATTTCTTAGTAAGAAGATGAGGTTAGTGTTTGCTAGGAGGGAAAAAGAAAAGGAAACCACAAAAGGATCACTGGGACTGCAGGGAAAGTTGAATTCATCACCAGAGAAGCGAGTCCTGACCTTTGCAAGATTCTCCGTGAAGACATTTTGTATAATCTTAGACTGGACAGGTCCTGGGCAGATGTTGATGATGCTGATGTCAGGGTAGTCAGTCAGCTCGGTCCGAAGAGAATTAAAAAAACCCTGAAAGACAAGACAAAGTTCAGCCTCGCTACCAGAGGAAGATCACAGCCCACGCATCTTCACGCTACCTCTGCGCTGTAAACACAGCGGTATTGCACTGAAAGCAACCCCTGCTACTTGGACTTTTCACATCCAATGGCTAATTTAAAACTTTATCTTCAGTTACAGACATTGATACACAAATCACTGAGGACCCCATCCTTGATTTCTCAGATACGCAGTAATTTCCCTAAGTCACAGCCAGATTCTGCTGCCCCTGTACTGAGGAGGAGCCTCGCTGTCCTGATAGTGGAAATGCCACCAGCCATAACCACTGCGGTATTGTGGAAGTGATCTTTGCAGGTGAATTTGTGGTGAGATTACAGATTTTAAGTTGTTTTTATTGAGGAAGTGGCACTGGTTTTATATGAGAGGAGAAAAACTCTTCAACAGACTGTCAAAGCTGCACCCTGATATTTTAGGCCGTAATTCTGCACCACTGAATTCACTACTGGGCTTGAAACTTGTATCCACACAGATATAAATCTCACTTCAGCTCAGGAATTTACTACCACTGGTTGAAGTTAAACCACAACTTCAAAAGCTGCAAGTATTTCTTTCTGCACTTTCCACATCCCCCTCCTTTCCCCTAGGGGTCCTGATTTGGAAGCAGTGAAGAACTGAAGTGAAGGGCAAGTTCACCAGTGGCACATGGGTATGAAGAGTTCCAGTGGGCACCAATCAAAGTGTGATTGTTGCAAGAATGAACTTTGATTCTTAGAAGAAATCCTCCCTTCCTCCTCCAACTCCCATTTAAAAGAAATTAAAAACGAAAGAAACCCCACAGGACAAGCAGAGGGACTTTTTCCAAAACAGCCCATTCAGATTACAGCACCAACTGTGTCAGCTGTGGTAGGCTCCAAGGCGTGAATTTAAAGAGCTCCAAAACCCATAATAGATTAATTCACGTCAGAGAGGCTCATATATTGAATAACTGGTGGCCAAAAGGCACCCTTCATTTCAAGAAGATCTTGGAACACGAGTTGATACAGGCGGGGAAAACACAACAGGGAAAACATCACTGGATGCTTTGTCTTGTTCTTCCCCTGTCCCCTCTCGCCGTTTCTTGGTCGTCAGAGGGGCGCCTGGGCTGGCCGCAGAGGACCGCGTTCCTGCAGGCTTCCTTCACTGCACCGTACCCGCCAGCTCGGGGGTTTCACAAAGGCTTTTCTAGCGTGGCAGGGTTTCCTGCCCACGTGGAGCCCAGACTGGTAAGAGTCTCAGACTGTCTTTTTGAACACCGATGCTGCAAATCACATGTTCTAAAACCTGCAATTGCTACTGGCAGAACTGCTGTGAAAGAAACAAGAAAGGAAGTTTGGATCCTTGCCTGGTTATGGAGCAGGAGTTAAAGAAATAAGCAGCTCAGTTTGCTTATTTTTAGTGAATACAGAAATTTTAGTACTCTCTCTCTAAAGCTTCTTCCGTGTTCTTGATCTTAACGTGAGGTTCAGAGTTCTGAGAATTTCTAAAGCAGCTCATTAATTCCTTGTGCTCTGCCCCCAGTTACCCATGCTCAGACAGGCAACACCACACCCAGAAGAAAAGAACACTCAGTAACGCAGCAGAAAGGGAGCTCATGCTTCTGCTCACTGCACTCTGATTTAAAACTGCCAGACTTAAACCACAGTCACCTCCAATGGGCAGTTTCATCGCTGCCACTCAAACGAAGAGCAGCAGAGCTCTCCTGTCAATAAGTGAAAACTTTTTATTAGCAGAGGCCTGTCACAGTCCTCTACGTCTTCATTCCTCCCAGCGTCTCCTGGCCTTGTAGCGTCAGCCACTTGTTACATTTTCGTTGTCGTTAGCCACACTGTCAAAAAGATACTGATCCCATAGCTTAAGCAAAGTCATTTACTCTGTTTATGTGCTTAAATCCAGAGGGAGTAAGAAGGTGCCAGCTTTCTGAATCATCACTGAGCACAGCTGAAGTTTATTTTACCGAGATCAAAACGTACATTAGCAGGAAGTCAAACAGTGGTGGAAGACAAGCACATCTAAATAAATTTACTAGTTAAACAAACGATTCCTTAAAACTCTCACCAGTGACTCTTCCTCCCTAACTGAACTAAGATGAGAACATCGGAGCTTCTATCTACGACAGAGTAACCTCCTGATGTAGGTATTCCTCCATTCAAAGGCCAGAGGCCGAGGTCTTGTGTTTCACATCAAAATTCAGCTATGTAATGGTTAGTAAGAACCAAGACGGCATCTGAATTTTGTCAGGAAAATAGATCTGCACTGGGAGCCAAGATATTTCACATTTCAGAGCAAATTAAATTTAAAGGACTTTCAAAACCCAAGAAAGCTACATATGCTGTGTGCCATTTCAGGTGAGACGTGCATTTGCTGCACAGAATGAAGTCCTCTGCTGCCGCACTGACCGATGCTGGTCTGTTACGTGACAAGACCTAATTAATCTCAGAAATACAACTCACCTGCAGAGCATGCTTGCTGGCACAGTACCCAGAGGCAAGAGGAGCTCCCATGATACCCATCACGCTGCTCACAGTGACGATCTTTCCTCTCCTCCTTTGGATCATGTGATTCAGGACGTGTTTCGTCAGAGAGATCGTACCCAGGTAGTTGAGTTCTATTATGGCACTGTAGACATCCAGGTTCGTATCCACGAACAGGGAGCGCTGGGAGCGTCCACCGTTGTTGACCAAAACGTCAATCTCAGGGAAGACACAACAGTAAGTTCACGTCCATCACACAAGCAATGGCCAAATGAGCGGTCGCCTCTGCCACACACCAGTAAGAGGCAGCGGCTGCTGAAGAAGCTGGTCTCAGCAGCTGCTCTCCCCCACTGAACTTCCCCTTTGAATCGAGGGCTGGCTAATTTGGAGCTGAGTCAACACAGCGGAACACAGTGTTTGATGCCAAACAAGGGTAACTCCCAGGGCAGGAACGCTGGCAGCTGGCAAGTTGTTTTCTACACATTTTTAACCCTACTGCTCTGCAGCAAATAGCACTTAATGCTCAGGTCCTTCAAGGTGATCTCTGAACACACGTTCTGTGCAAAACCAGAAACCAACTAAGGAGCAGAAGAAAGAACTCTGCTACCAACAATTTAACTGAGAAACCAGAATCTCAGTGGACTGAAGGCCTGGCTTGAAGCTGTGCATGCTTTACACCTGACTGCTGTCCTCCTAGCTCCATACTCTGTACTCGCAACCTAGAAAACTGCGCACCAAAGGAGGGAAACGGTTGTGCCTGGTGTCCAGTGTGGTTCCATCTGGTTCTGAACCCGAACTATCCGCACTACTGAAACTACAAAATAAAGAATCTGCCCTTCACACACAATTTTAAGCCTTAAATATACAGCTAAGGATTGTTCCAGTTGGTCCAGAAATTCAGTGACATCAAGCAAGTGATTTTTTAGCTCTTGGTAATGACCAGTGACTACTTGTTCATCATTGCATCTCTGTAAAGCCTGCTGAAACGCAGAAGCAAGCGAAAGAAGGGATGAAAATTCAGGTACATTTTGGCAAGTTCGGTACTGAAACTTCAGAAAGATGCGGACGCTGGTGAATTTACCATACAACAGAATAAAAGTGAAATACGAACGTAAATGCAGGTACAGGAGATAGAGAAGAAAACGTTGTTTAACCCCAGAAGCACACCTGACTTACCTTGCCAAAATGCTTGAGAACACTGTTGGTTGCAGCTTCATGGGAGCTCCTGTCGGTCAAGTCAAGACGCAGAACAAGGATATCCTTTTCACCCAAGTTGCTAATCTCTAAAAACAACCATAAAGTCCATGGGAATCAATTGGATTGCCGAGATAACAACTGTAGGAGATGTAATGTGCAGGTAAACACCACATTTTCACTAAGGAGATACCAAGAAACCATAACACTGAGCTGGAAATAAAATGCTTGCCTTGTCAAGATCACTTTGATCTCTGCACAGAATCCATTTTTAATCTGTTCCTACCACGTGTTTCTTTTCTCATCTTTGTTTTTGCATGTGAAAAGCTTGACTTTACTCAATAGGCTTGTGTGACACAATACAGACAGCTCAATTCTCCACATAAATTGCAGCAGCTGAGAGTAACGTGCAACAGGATCATTTGATACTGACATTTCTCAGAGCCGTTCAGAAGCACAGCACATTGGCAACCTTGACACTTTGCTTGCCTGTTAACTGGCCAAGCACATTTGTCCCTGACAGGAGGAGGAGTACAATTTAGACCCAACACAACATATCGACATGAGCAGCTATAAGGCAAAGTCTAGAGAAGCTACATTATTGGAGGATTATTGGAGGAGATAGAAGGTTTCTGTTTAACTGACAGCTTTTAATACATCCATCTCCTGAAATAAAAGTCAGCTGTCAGAAGTTCAAGCCTTCACATTGAGTTTTTCCCCCACTGCCTCTTCTGAACAGCTGACCTTTTCCATAGAAAGTATTTCTTGAGCAGTGATTTGTTACCCTGGGGTTTTGGGGTAGATGACTCACAAAAATAAAATCTTCAATGTTAATCTTTTCAGGCTTTTTTGACTACATGTAACATGATTTTTTACTTTATTTATGTAAGTTTGATAGTGGCATTTTTGTTTCTAAATGGATTCCTGGCCACAACTAAGTGTACCTGCTCCCCTTTAGCCAGCTGCTGTCTAAGGCTCTGATTTTCAATGACTACTTATTACACACACAGGTAAGGTTGAACTTTGTCTTTACAGTGATGTACAAATACGGAGGTTACTTAACTCCATAACTTGCCTCTGTTCAAAGGTCATTAGTATTTAGGCTACTGGTTAAAATAAACCCATCGGTCTGGTTTCAAGCTACCAGTATTTCCATTTATTGCTCCCTCAAGCAGATTTGCACAGCTGAAACCTAATGGGACGTGGAGTGTTTCTGCCATGGATTAACAAGACCACACGGTCAACTCAGCCAAGAAAGCAACACAGGGGGGAAGAAAAAAGCAGAGGAAGAGGCACAGACCGCTGATGAGGAAGGAAGTGCTCTTTCATACGACATAAGAAACTTTTGACTTCAGGACATCTCAAACCAGAAGCCCAGTTCTTGCTTTGGAGCGATTCATAGTCCAGTCTGATTTCCACCCCAAAGCACTCAGACCACACACCTCTATCAGCTTCCTTACTTCTTTTCTAGGGTGAGGAATCCTGGCTCCAGCCACTCCTCATAGACAGTTTTTCCAAAACTTCAAGCGTTCCCGTTACCCTTTTGCTGAACTTCTTCCTCCATCCATTCCTCCCGTTGTTTTTCTGGCAATGACCTGAACTGTGCACCGCGTTGAAGGCACCTTCGTGTCCCAATTTATGCACTGTCAGAATGATGTTTCCCATTCCTTTCACTAATAACCCCCAGCACTTCACTCCCTTTTTTGCCTACTACCAAACTGATGCTTTTAAGGGAACCCTTGTGATAACCCAGTAAAACACTTGCTCCCAAGTCTAGAGTTCATCATTGTACACAAACGCTGACATATGTTGGTTATCATCCTTTAGTGAAGTGTCTCCAGCTGTGAGAGCTGCTCAAAGGGAATTTCACGTGGCCACCAGCTTTCGGATGCAACATATTTGAAACGGAGCACTGAAAGCTAAGTCTACCCAGAGCAAAGGCCTCTTCCACACAGCTGTGTGTATCTTCTGTAGGTTCTTTAAAGTCTCCTTGCACAACACCTTTACACTGCACGGCTTCTGGTTGGGATCAAGGTGCCCGACCAGGGAGCAGGAGGTCTTCTGACCGACATTTCCTATCAAGCAATCATGCGCTGCTTCCTCGCTCCTGATGGTTCATAAATTCTGGTTACTTTTTAACTAAAACATGGTTACAATCACCCAAAGCCAACTTGCTGCTTGAAACACAGCTGTGTAAGTAATGCTGACTTAGAACGATATTTTGTTACAACACCAAGCGTGCGTGCTCTTCCCTTAGAGTCCCTAGGGGTCTTCAGACCCACAACTCTCTTCAATACACATGAATTCAGGAAAGCAGTTTCTCATAACACAACAAATGCTATTACTCAGCATAGACCCTTTATTTCCCAGCTCTTCAGCTCTTCCTCTTCTATCTTTTATTTCTATGTTGTATAATGCCCTTTACCAGAACGTGAGCTTTGGGCAGAGGCTGAACATGACTCCTGAGGTCCATTCCGACCTCAATCCCTGTATAATTCTATAATTTATAGATTACCTGTCGTTCATTTGGCTTATCTGTCTTTAAATACTTGGGCTCTGTCAAACCAAGCAGCACACACATCCCCATCACTTACTTTTTTTTTCTTTTTAGGGCTTTTGAGCGAAAACAGCCTCCAGAACAACCAGCACAACTGGACTCATGCTGCAGA